GGGTGATATAGAGTTTTTCATAAAAGTATTTCACCAAATAAAAATGGTTTTTTTACCAACCGTTTCTTTCCTCGCAATTACTACAATTAAAATTTGGATTGCTTAAACAACACTAAACAGAAAAAAATGTTATTTTTATTTACGAAAAATCAACACATCGACATCAAATTTTTTCCAAGAATTATCTTAGATTTTTGATAAGTAAGTTTAGGCTGGATTTTCTTAAGTCTATTTAACTAAGTAAGCTTTATATCTATGAAAAAAAACCTGAAAATAACGAATATGAAATCGAATCTGCGTCTAACTTAGTTGATTTTATGTCAGCTCGGAGGAAATGAAACTATAACTCACCATCTTCACCTGTAACTTCAGTTATCAATAAAGACAACAGGGCGACCAAGAAGTAAAATTTTGAGGAAGATGCCATGATAAAGACTAAATCGAGCCGCTACATAGGATCATCGCTGGTGACTTCTGAAAATATTTTTATGCTTGTTTACTTCTTTTGTATGCAGAGAGTTCTAATCATACAATAAGGAGATGTGGATTTTCTTTGCGACTTTGTGCTTTGCAGCAGAGCTGCGATTGGCACAGAATTTAGCTTAGGCGGCATTCAGTCCGATTAAGGTGAATAAAAATCATTCAAAATGATTTAAGTAAGCTCGATCGATTGAACAGCATGCGAAATATTCAGCTAATAAGATAATTGTAAAGAGTGTTATAATTAGGCTTCTAGGTTTTTAAAATTATTTGACCACAAAATGATCGCCTAAAGGAACAGGTGTAATTGTAACTCCCAGAAGATCAAAATATATATTTTTTTAACCTTCCTTTGCCGTCACTGAAGCCGGTGGACATGACATAAACGATGTGGCTTGAAGTAATTAATGAGGTGTCTGAAAGAGGAACAGGTTTTAAAGCTTGTTCTCCGCACGTCAAGTTTAAATCGAGAAAAAATTCCGCACTTTTTTTTGATGCTCTGTTACTAAGATGAGAAAGTCATTTTATTTTGTGGACACAGAATTCATATTTACATAATTTTTTTCCAAGTTCCGATAACTTTATCAACCTTCATTTTTTCGAGATTGTCGATCCCCTTTGCTTCCCTCTCAATCCAAATTAAGCCGGTGAATTACCAAGCTTCCTTGACTCTGTTCAAAGCTTTCTACGTGTGAATGAAACGTTTGGCTCACTTTTGATAGCTTGGAATGCGGTTCCTGCAGCATAGCAGCTTAACTTTGTTGTAACCGCTGGCTAAAGAAGGGAGGATCAATGGCTCCCTTAAAATTTCAAGTGTAAACGAGCCCAGGTAATGACTTGGTTATTGACTTATGTGAACTTTTAAACTCAGCAATTATTGTGTTAATCATCCTGTGTGGTTGACGCTAAGATATAATATGAACTTTTTGATTTGCTTAAACCTTTCACTCTTATTGCGCACCTCTCAAAATACTATAAGTCGGAAACTCGTTAATATCATAAATTATTTGGGCATAAATGTACGTAGATCTTCCTAAGCTGACAGATTATGGAGGATGAGGTCAGTGGAAGCGACAGTGATGTTAGGCTATCAGTCACATATTTGCGAGCGGTTCTTCTCGCAGAGATGTCTGAACGGCTACATAGACTTGTTTATAGACGTACCTTAAAAAATATAACAAAACAAAGCGAAACAAACAAAAGCACAAGACGTCGCTGTAAAAAATTCATAAAAGTCAGGGCTGAATATTTATATTTGAAAGCAATATTGTACAATTTTAGAAGCTACGAGAATCTGAATCTGTGTCATTTTTTTTTTTTTATATTGTAAGAGGGTCGTATGTATCAAAGCGCTAATTACATTATGCAACGTGTCATGTTCAATGGGCTGATATATTCTGGGTTTAATTCGTCCCTAACTTGTGCCGTGCGCTCGATCAGCGGAGATGCTGGTTCCGTGGGCCAAAACTGAGAGCCTGGAACTACCTTGGAAAAGATTCAACTTTCAAAGAATATCTTCGTACTTAATAAACTTTTTAGCAGATTGTCACGCGTCATGTTAATAAGGAGAGGACAAAGGGGAGGATACCGTCTGTTACCTATATAATTTTGTTCTAATCCGTTTTCTTTTCGTTTTTATTTTTATTTTTATAAAACGAGAATTAGACTTAATATCCATCTCAGATCCTGCTGGTAGATTTCCGTTATGCAAGTAAAAGTTGTAACCTTGTATAATGATGGACTGCGTGAAATCCCGGATGTACATCTGCCAGGTCCCAAAGTGCATGCATTTATACCTGAATCCTCTCATTACGTGCAGTTATTTGCTTCACATTTAGACTGGACCACTCAAGCACATTTCATGGCTTGTTCAAAACGATTTTGTAAGTGTAGCAGATGCAACAGTTTTTCTCAGAAATGTTTTGGTAATACTGGCCAAATGTGTTAATCGTGCTGAAGCAAAACATCTCAGGGACTTTACCATTTCACATTGTACAATGGACATTGTGAGTTATTTTCCTCAACATCAGTTTGTACCACAGTGGCGCAGATCACAAGTTGGTGGCTGGAAAAGTTTGTAAATATGGTAGGATCCACAGTTTCTCACCTTAATCTGAACTGATCGGTAGCAATAGCCTATACTTTTGTGTTTGAAGCAGACCTTCCTGTTAACTTCCGCATCTTCCATTGCGGGATTAGTACCACTTAACCCTTTAACCCCCAAGATTTGAGTATCAATTCTCCCTTCTAGGTGCTTCACATTTACTTATATATTAGCTTAGAGAGTTTGATGCTAGATCAAGAAAACAAATTCTTGGTTCTTAGGTTGGTTCTACCACATTTATTATTACTACATTTATACTTCTATTGTCATCACTTAGGTTTATATTATCAAAACACGGATCGGCTACAAATTTTAGTATCGATTTTAAAATAACTGTAATCATTACAATGAAGAATAAATGTTTTTTGCGTTTTTTTAAAGTCTAATAGTTTACCAGTTACATTGCCCGGGATGTGTTTATAACAAGTTGATTGTATCGTTTAGTTTTATTTCAGAGATACGAATTCTGTGGGATTTCTTGAAAATATCTTTCCGATCAAATAATTGACGAAAGGAAAAATTGATCTACGAACCTGTTTCTGTCAGAAATTTGTCTTAAACTCAAGAGGAGAGCTCATTTAAAAAAGTTGGGATTATTGCTCAATCAAACCTAGATAATAATAATAATAATACAGTTAAAAGGTGCCGGAAGGCTGTTGATGTCTTACTAAAGGAGAGAGATATCTCAACAAATCAACCTCTCACTTCCTAAATTTCGGAAACCCCTACGAAGATTATTGATTATTCACCCGAAGGAATGATGAACTTTGCGCTTAAACAACACTAGCGACAGTAGCTTTAACAACACCAAAAAGATACAGTGGAATCTGTCTTGTTTACTGACACCTGGAGAGTGGTAATTCATTGTTTCATGTAACCTTACACTGATTACTCGTAGATTATTTGACTAGCAGGCGATTAAAGGGTTTGGCCCTTGGGAAAGTCAATGTAGATTTTCTAAAGTGCAACAAAGACACGTAAACTTCTGATTATTTAGACGTGATATTTGTCTTAGGCTCATTGTCAGTGTTAAATAAAGCAACCATAGTAAAAGATCACACCTTCTCTGTTACCGGTCACATACTCACAAATAAGCCTGAAAAGGTTATTAAATTGGGTTTTAACTAGTCTTCATTTCCGACCTCTTTCTGCTCTTGTTTTGTTCTTTGTTGAAATGCCTTTGAAAGAGCTATTAGCGTAGACATTATTGAGATTTTACCTATTTCACCCAACACACTTTCCTACAAGATTCACCTTTAAGGTATGATTTGATCGAAATAAGGAATACTATACTCCTACAATTGAAACTATTTTGTTAAACAACGTGTAGTAATTCTTTCTCAGGAGCCAATCCTATAGGCAATACAATAATTGTCCTCTAAAAACTTACTTAAGTCCACTACAGACTAAAACGTAGCTCTCTACTGACACCAAAGACTTACTATTGCCTCAAAATCTCCACAAAATACACAATCTTTGAAGTATATCACAGTACTGAGCTATTGTTTATAACATGGCTGATAAATATTTTCTCAATACATGCTTTTGGTAGAGCTTCCTAGATATTCGGTCTTTTCCGACAAAGGAAATTAGTACTCCTAGCTGACTGAGTCCTTATAGCGGAGCTCGCAGAGCGTAGCCCCATAATTATACAAAATAGTAGTAACCCATCAAGTCGAAAAAATTTGGATGTACGACCATACGACCGTACGACCGTACAAGGTGCTACTTTTAAGATGCGTGGTCACGCCAACGCTACGGTTTTGTCCAGTAGTCCAGTGGTCAGTGCACTGGGCACTTTGAAACATCCCGGAATTCGAAGCTTATAACACAACTATTGTGGTAGAAATAGATCGTAATCACATAACCCAATAGAATAGAGAAGGCGTTGGTATGAAAATCTGCTTTAGTTTCAAACGACCTGAGTAAACATCGAGAGTTCAAAACGTTTAGTAATAAGCAAAATGCAATGCTAAAAACATTGCTTAAAACTTTTACTTGAGTAAACACTTCTTTGGAATAGATAGCGATGCTATATTAAAACTTATTATTTGGAAGCTCACTAATGCCCATAGTTGTTGACATTAGCTAGGGGAGGGGTAGGGGGAGTCTGTTCCAATAGTCGGATAAACAATTTTTCAGTCGACTCTGATGATGATATATCCGCTTAGATTATAGAAACGTCAGTCACTATCACTGACTATCTTCAGTCACAACTTCTCAAGAGTACTCTTATATGGAAGAACAAACTACGCGGTCCAATGGTACTCTTGTGTTTTAAACTACTCACTGTTTAACTCTTACCATAAAACTGGGTGATGTGAAATTCTTAAAGTCCCTGTTATCATTGATGCACATGTGCCAATAAATCGATTTGTGAATCCTTTCGCTGTGCAGAATGACTTGCTTATAGCATTTAGTCCGTGCCACAGTAGCGCAAATCACAAGCAGGTACCTTTTGTAGTTTGTATATAAAGTAGGATCCGCAGTCTTTCACTTTTATGTCCCTTGATTTCTTGCAACAATCTCCACCTCTGGTAAAGCAGACCTTTGAAGAAACCTCACCATCTGCCAGTGTGGGGTGACCACCTTTTAGCCAGCCTGATAAGACCGCACCACATCTATAATCCGGTACGCACTGGGTTGGCATTTTTGTTCCTGCATCTCCCACGAAACGATACCATTTCCCAAATATTATGGATGAGGATTCGTCATCACATTTTCCTCCACCGAGGGGTGTGATGTAAGTGCTCTTTCTGTCAGCATCGCTCAGGTTTCTGTAATTATAGCACGGATCGGCTAAAAAGTTGAATTTCGGTTAATGCGATGTTTTAAATATTTCTTTATTATTTAGGTCTTTGACTTGGGTAATGGTATTTCTCGTGGCTGAGAACGAAAATCGAGAACTGGAAGATTTGCCACAGGCCGATTTCGGCCGTGTACATGAAAATATTCCTTTTTTCGGTAAGGAAAAAGTCAATAACTGAGAATTTTGTGAAAAGAAAGCTACGCCCATCGTCTGTTTCTGTAATGGTTCAACGCATTTATTCATCTTGAGCCTTATCGCCGATGCGCTTTACGACTTTTTTTTCGCGGATTGTGAAACCTATAATTTCATTTTTTAAAAAGTCGACTTTTCTTCCTTGTAAAAGCTTATTGTGTTAATATAATAAACAAAATAATAGATGGTCGCTTGCAGATATGGAACTTCTCTTCTCTTGTTCAACTCGATACCAAGAGATTATAACAGTTTATATTCTCTTGCTCGATACTTTACTCGTTCGCTGCTCTCGCTCACGAGATAACAAGTTGAATATTCCAAGAGAAATTCTATATCAAAGCGCACCCAAGTATCATTCTCTATTTATTTAATGAGTACAAAATAGCCGAGTTTGTCATACAGCCTCAATACAAAATCCCTTAAAAGTTACCATATTCAACGAATTTCAATGCGTGACTGTGGCGCGATCGCTTAGTGATCGCTTTTCATACAGCCCTGCAATAATCGACTACTGACCACAAATAAGGTTGTTGATGAATGTAAAGCCATCAAACTTGTTAATAAGTGCCCCCGTAAAAATTTCCTAGGGCTAGAATTATTTGACTGTGAAAAAGTTTTCTGTGTCGTAATGGAATTGTAGTGAAGTAAATAGTTTTTCTTCGAACTGAGCAGATATGCCTGGACAACTTCGTTGAGAGCCGATTACTGCTGAAGCAATAGAGAACCTTTTTTCCATGTTTACCTACTCTCATCTAAACACGAAAGGAGGTTGGGAGAATTTGAGGTAGTTATGCGAACCCGATACGCAGTCAAGGGTTTGCATAACTTTCAAAAAATTTCCTAGCCTCGAATGTTTAAATAAGAAAATGTAAACATGCGAAAAAGTACCCTATATAATATAAGCAAAATTCTCCATTAACGTTACAGAGGAAGGTAAATATTGTTTGTTTATAACATGGCTGATAAATATTTTCTCAATACATGCTCTGCACGACAGTGTTTCCTAATAGCCAATCAAATCGCGCATCTGACAACAAATAAACCAATCAAAAGTTCGCGTTGTAAGAAAATACAACGTATTTTACGTGAGTGAGAAAATCGGAACTGCGGTCAACATCGATTTTAACCAATCAGACTATTCTGTTTAATTGAGACATCATCAATGTTATTCAATTTGCAGAACAGTTATGCATCATCAAAAAAATTATTTTCTCTCCTGGTGGACAAAAACAATGCACATCAGGTCCACAAATATGATGTAAAAAATCAAATCTATCTTTCTTTATCCCCAATGTTTTTTCGAAGGACGTTTCTGAGCAAACTAAAGGCAATAAAAACTAACGCGATTTGTAACATGGCCGAACAAGAATAGCCATTCATTCAACATTATTTACAACGAGTTCAGTCAGTACCATCTCTAAAAAATATATAAGGCATGGATTAGGAGAGAGTAACCTTTACAAGACAGACCATCCCCAATGTATTTAGAATTACAGGCGCAACTGTAGGAGCCCTGGGTATTATTGCAGGAGGCGTGCTCATCGCATATGTTCATCTGTGAACACTCGTCAATGTCTGATGGGGATCAAGTGCACCACGTCACAACCCAGAGTTGGATGTTATGATGAAAAATGTTTTGGTTGATCAATCTATAATGAACACCTGTACAAAATACTGCAACCTAATCTCAAAAGATGTAGGACGAGGTGAAATAATCTACCATTTCTAATAAGTGGTGAATTATGGAGTAGAACTACATTTTAGGAGAAATGTTTGACTTCTTCTGCCACCACGATTTGAGTTAAAAGGACGTTTTAGATTGCTCTCCGCCTTGAATAGCTGGGATTGAAGGAAACTTATTAAAATTACCTGAGCAAGTTTGGTACAGTTAGCATTCACACGACAAGAAAGATTTCTTGAACATTCGTCAATATCTGAGAAATGAAATGCTTTCAATCACGATTCTCGTCTTCGTCAACAGAGATGTTCAGCATTTTGTTCCCTTGCGTTTAAGTGGGATCAAGGATTTTCATTTTCTGCCGTCGGTCAAAAATGCCAGGCAAGGTTAATTGCTTTATCAAAACAAACAAACAAACACACCCAAACTAAAATTTCACTAAGTCATAACGAGTCAATTACAATCTAAAGGCCTTTACCTGTGCAGCTCCGTCCATCTCCGTTAAATCCAAGTAAACAGGTGCACACAAAGGATCCATTTATGTTTTGACAAGTAGCGTTCAGGTGACAATCGTGGGTATTTTTTTGGCATTCATCAATATCTAAAAAAATTGGAGAGAAAAGAAAAATTCTTCAACGGTAGTGGTTACACGAGTGAGATATACATTCGCTTTTTAAACTCTCATGAGGTGAAAAAGCATTTAGTTATTTATCATTGCGACAAATTAATTGTTAATTTAGACTAAACCAAAACTTCCACTACAGTGAAATCTCTCTCTAGACACCATTCCAAACTGAAGCCGGATATCAGTCGTCAAAGATCAGCCTTGGAAGCCTTCCTTTAAGATACGCACTCGACAGCCAAACTTGATATATAAATAGGGGTGGTTTAAATACTCTTTGTTCTTATGGGCATTTTCTGTAATTAACCTTTTTCGCAATGTTCTCCTTCGAATCCAGGAGGGCACGAGCATCGATATCCCTTGATTGTGAAACCGGACTGACAAGTTGCATTATTTTGACATGGTGGGTTTTTACCGCAGGCGTTCTGAAAGGAAGAAAAAAAAAAAAAAGAAATATGGATGTATTGAATGATTGATAGATGGATGAGCGAACTGAAGTTTTGATAATTAATGGCTGTTTTTCAAGATTCATCGAAAAGCGTAGAGTTGCTGAATTTAAGTTATACTTCATATTTTACCTTTGAGCCACGATAATAGAAATCGGCATCAGTTATCAGGTCAGTATCATATTCAAGATGAGTGGCGTTATTCAGTTCACAGACATGAGCGATTACTCCATACTCGGGATCTTTTTTGAAGTTAGCACTGACGCAGTTGTCGTTCATGTAGCAGAAAAGCTCACAGTCATACAAGTCCTTGACTAATTTGGTTTCGATTTCATGTAATACCAAACGTTTTTCAGCAAAGAAGAAGTAATCTGGAAACCACATTGTGCGATTTCGCTCTGAAATAAAGCAATCAAAACATAATTAGTGAACAATTTTTCTTATCAGGTATAAATTAACTCACGATTCGAGGTTTTAAGCTTAAAAAATAACACGCTTGGTGAACAAAGAACTGTGATCTCAATCAAACCACGACTACGGGAAAATGGAGAAAAATTAACACTACCTTTATTTGAGGATTTGTGTCTTCTAAGAAAATTGGTATTTAGGACAAAGTTTTTCACAAAATAATTAACCCTAGCACTCCTTCCTCCCTCCCAAAAATTCCTTTTCTACTTCATGATCGATAAGTTATGAAAAAAAAATCATTTTTCTTTAAAAACCTTTTTCGCTTTCTTCATTATACAGGTCCTTGAAAATTCATAGTTTCTTACTTGAGTTTACATGATCGCCTTTGGTTATTTAGAACGATTATCATGGAGAGAGGAAATTTATGCCAATTTCCATTAAGACAGGCAAATATATAAGGCATGGATTAGGAGAGAGTAACCTTTACAAGACTGTATTTAGGATTACAGGCGCAACTTTAGGAGCCCTGGGTATTACTGCAGGAGGCGTGTTCATCTGTGAACACTCGTCAATGTCTGATAGGGATCAAGTGCACCACGTCACAACCCAGAGTTGGATGTTATGATGAAAAATGTTTTGGTGAATCAAGATATAATGAATACCTATCCAAAATACTGCAAATCTAATCTCAAAGGATATGGGAAAAAACAAAACAATCCACAATTTTTAATGAGGGATGAATTTTAGGATAAATGACTGACTACTTCCGGCCTTTTAATTTGAGCTAAAAAGACGTTTCAGATTACCACCCGCTTTGAGTAGCTGGGATTGTATGTATAGAAAGAGCAGCAATGGAGGTTGCCTCTCTTCGGTCATAAAGGACTTTTCTGGAAATTGAAGGAAAGTTATCAAAATCACCTGAGCAAGTTTGTCCGTCTCCAGTGTATCCAGTGTGGCATGTACATACATGTGATCCAATTGTGTTGGTACAGTTAGCATTCACATGACAAGAAAGATTTCTTGCACATTCGTCAATATCTGAGAAATGGCAGGCTTTCAATCACGATTCTTGGAGTATGATACATGCATAAACCTCCTTATTTTGAGCATTGAGTGCATTTCGTCCTCTTGCTTTCAATTGGGATCATTTTCTTTTTTTGGTCAAAAATATTAAGGCAAGGATAACTACTTTATCAAAACAAACAAACAGAGAAGGTACGTACAAATTAAACAAACAGTTAAAAATAAAAACACAAGCAAACAAATAAAGTCATAACGAGGCAATTACAATCTAAAGGCCTTTACCTGTGCAGTTCCGTCCATCTCCGTTAAATCCAAATAAACAGGTGCACACAAAGGATCCATTTGTGTTATGACAAGTAGCGTTCAGGTGACAATTGTGAGTATTTTTTTGGCATTCATCAATATCTAAAAAAATGGGAAAGAAAAGAAAAATTATACAACGTTAGTGGTTACACGAGTGAGATATACATTCGTTTTTTAAACTTTTATGAGGTGAAAGAGCATTAAGTTATTTATCATTGTGACAAATTAATTATTTATTTAGACTAAACTGAAAAACTTCCACTGCAGCGGAATCTCTCTCGAGACACCGTTCCAAACTGTAGTCGGATATCAATCGTCAAAGATTAGCCTTGCTAGCCTTCCTTGGTAGACTTTTTTTTCGCGGATTGTGAAACTTCTAATTTTATTCTTTAAAAAATTCTATTTTTTTCTTAGTAAAGGCCTATTTTTGTCTTTTACATGAAAATATTTTTCTTTCGGTAAGGAAAAAAATCAACTGAGAATTTGTGAAAAGAAAGTTACGCCCTTTGTCTGTTTCTGTAATGGTTCAACGCATTTTTTCATCTTGACCCTTATCGCCGACGCGCTTTACGACTTTTTTTCGCGGATTGTGAAACCTATCATATCATTCTTTTAAAAAGTCACTTTTCATTCTCAGTAAAGGCCTATTGTGTTTATATGATAATCAAAATAGTACATGGTTGCTTGCGGTCATGTAACTTCTCTTCTCTTGTTCAACTCGATACCAAGAGATTATAACAGTTTATATTCTCATAAGATAGCGACTTGAACACTCGAGGAGGTGAACACGTGAGGACAAAATGACCGAGTTTCTTCGTGATAAATTGTCTAATTGTCTTGCAACGCAGCTGAACGGCGCGGCACTGTAGTCGAACGTGTCATGCAGGACTATTCTACATATTGTAGAGAAGAGATTAAATTTACCTGTGCAGTTTGCTCCGTTTCCAGTATATCCAGCGTGACATTGACATACATGTGATCCAAGGGTGTTCATGCATGCAGCATTCACGTGACAAGAGTGATTTCCTTTACACTCGTCAATATCTGTAAAATCATAAACATAAAAAAAATTGTAATTGGAGAAAAGTTGCCGAGCATAAGCTGAGAAGCCTTTGTCTTGTGGTTCTAGACGTGAGCACTTCACATTACCACTTACCACATTTTTTCTCAGTTTCCCCAATTTCAAATCCGTTGTTCTGTCCTGTAAGCCTATCCATCAAGTCTCCTTTGCCAGTTGAGATTTTTTACCACTGAATGTTTATCGAATACAATGGTGTCATTATCGCCATTGTCTTCAGGCCTACATTCATCTCTTTTTTATACAAGGTATGCTGGTAAAACAAGTCTTGCAAAGATGATAGTGCTTTTCTTCCCAATGGGAATGGTTACAAAAGAAACGCATCAAGTACCTTTGCAGTCGCCTCCATTTTCAGTATATCCGGGGTGACAAGTACAAGCGTACGATCCTTTGGTGTTCGTGCATGTAGCATTCACGTGACAAGAGTGATTTCCTTTACACTCGTCAATATCTGAGAAACCATTGATAAATTTTGCACTTTATCATTTTTATGACTCATAGTCATATAATTCCTCTTATCATTGCAAAATATGTAACAAAATATGTAGATCGTGGTAACTCTGTGCATAAACATGCATGGATAACGCTGCTTAAAATTATGAGACGATTAACAAAAATTAGTTATATATGGAAATATCAAAACTACCTGAACATGAGCGTCCATCGCCGATGTATCCCACTTTACATGTGCATTTGTAAGAACCAAACGTGTTAGTACAGTTTGCATTCACGTCGCAGTCACTGATGTTAAATTTACATTCATCCATATCTAGAATGTAGAAAGAGAGGCGGTGACTAAGTTAGAGCAACTTGAGAGAGGCATCCTCACTAGAACTGATCCAAACCAAATATTACGATAATGATATCAATAATAGTATAATTTATAATAATTTCATGATACTGATAACTCGCCACAAAATAAAATAACTGAAGCAAAGTTATAGGACCTACCTTCGTTAACCATATCACAGTAAATCAGTTTTGCTTTTCCTTTCCTAGTTGGATCCAGCCAGTACTTGCCGCTTATGGTGTATTTACCTTCACTCGCCTTTATTTCGTGACAAGACAGCGCCGGTAATTCAGGGATAGAACCTAAGGGAGCTGCAGTAAAGATATGTTTTACATTTACTTCCTATTCTTAGCTCTTCCAGGTGAGAAGGAACCAGGCTGAGGATGGAGAAGATTTAAAGAAATAGAAATCACACAGATAGAGAGACATTTGATTTCTTACCTCTGCCGTTCAATCGCCGGATGTAAAACCAAGCGGGTGCTGAAAGGAAATTCTCTGGTCTCGCCTCCTTGGTGCGGTTATTTAGTTCACATATTTGGTATTTTCGATTGTAGTTGTAGCTTTGGCACGTGATCTCTTGTCCACATTTGACATCGCAAAGGTGAGGAGCTGCCAGTGACCACCTTTTGAAGACATGACCCTCGAGAGCCATTCCTTGTATGTTTACTTCTGTCCTACATTGATCATTAGCTGTGACAAACTCCATGGTAGAAGCGAAAAGGACGAATCTTAAATGGCAGAACAGCCACCACATACTTCTTTGCTTGTGCTGAATCTGAAAATATTGAGAATAGGATCATAGAAAGAAAAAAGACGAGTTTCCCCTCAACAAAACTTGTTTGATACCAGATGAAGCCATATAGCAATAATACTACACGTACATTAAAACCTTGCCTGTAAATTTGTTCAGGCACTTTCTAGTTCATGATGTGAGTAAACAATTTGCACAAGGCTCGATAGGATGCCAATCGTCAAGGAAGATCAGCACAACTATTAGCATTAAGCTTTAATTTTGAAGGCTCCTTCAGTTTCTGTGGAATGATAACTTTGATCTGCTTAAGGCATTTTGAAATGTCCTCTCGATAGGCCTGATCATTTTACGCCCCCATAGAAGAACGAATGTTCAAGCATTAAAATCTTCATTTCGAAATATTGGTTCCAAATGTGAAGTGACAACGACTCAAACTCGACAAAAATTCAGATTAAATAACATAGTCTCATTATGAGCGAGAAAAAATACAACCTTTAACAAGTTGGCTAATTAACATTTATAAGCTGCTGATTATCCTCATTTTTTATGAAATAAAAATCCCGAAGATTGTTTAAACCTTTTATTCATCTACATAATTTAGTAACCAAAAGGGTTAGAAAGATTCAAATACAAGGCTTCCAAACTATATGTGATGAATAATCCTTTCTAAGTTGTTCTTAACACATTCAACATTTTAGACGGGGATCAGACTTTAGCGACCTTTTGGTAATTTTTTAGATAAACAGAGCAACATATTATTTACCAGAACTTTTGTGGTGCATAGAAGTAATCATGTAAAGGTTCAGTTAGTAAACCTCGAGTATTGATAATCTGCTTTCGTTGAAAAAGACCTCAAGATAATTTTCTTTTAAAATCGCACCATACCCTTATTTGGGAGTGAAGCCAACCTTTTTCCTTTGGTATGCAGAATTAAAGGAGCCGCGGCTAAATATCCTTTTCGTAAAGAATATGGATTTTCCAGGGAAAGTATTACTCAAATAACCCATCAATGTTTTCGATATGATAAACTCTTACCTCTCAAGATGCAAAGCTCTTTGGTCCCTCACTGCTTTTGAGGTAAAAGTGCTTTCTTTTGTAACAATATGGTAGCTATGGTTACCACAGAAACACCTGGTTTCATGCCAAAACGATAATTAACTTTAGATAAGAACTTCCTTTTTCCTTCTACAATGTCACTGAACCATGGCAAAGATCAAATATTTGTTTACTACGCAAATGTCATCACGATCTCAAATTTTGCAATGAGCGTAATTTTCAGTAGGTTTCTTTGACAAATTATTATTATGAAACATCGAATTCGGTCTAAAGTAGCTTTTAAACGTTGTTTTGTTTAAGAAGATTTCCTTCAAGTTCTCAAATAATCCAGTGTGTATCTAAGGAAACTCCACCGTGTGCTAATAAAGGATCGCTAATGAAAAACTAATAAGAGAAGAATGTCTTTGACAAGGAGATATTGCCAGCCTCAAGAAACGTCAAGCCTTCCATTGCATAATCTATACGCAAAGCTCTAAACATATAACATACACTCTTATGTTTGTATCAATCAAAAGTGTCCCACTTACGGTGTATGCAACTTCCTGAAGACAAGTAGGGGCTGAGTAAATTTGTACGGGCAGGGAAAACTGAATTTTTTTCCCTTTTTGGCTTAAGAACTATTGCACTTGTTTGAGGTTTTGAAAGTTAGTTCTTTAATTAAGAAAGGACTTTCATCAACCTGTCGCGTAATTTTGGCTTGAAAACTTGCTCTGGCCTCGAGGAAGTCTTCCAGCAAATACTGACGATTCGTGTTAGAATTTATCTATATAAGTTTATACGGCTCAATTTTGCGCGAAAGCCACAATGAGCATAATTCACAGACGTCAAGCACACGCAATACAAATGAATTGCTCGAACCTCAAAGGCTTCAGAGCTACAATACAAATTCAAGTTGACAGTGAGGACAAACAGATCAAACAAAATGCGGTGTAAATTTGCATTGTTCCGCCAAATACTTAAAATTTATCGCTAAATATTTTTTTAGCTAGACAGTTTTTAATGAGTCGTCGACAATGTAGTTCAAATAAACTATTATCGCTGCAAAAATGTCAATTTTTTTTTTCGTCATACACAGTTTCTTGAATTTTGCTTACGTTTTTTAATATTACTCATAGTTTATTGAATTGTCTTCTGTCTTGTCTCAAGCAACGTTAAATCAACACGTAATAATGACTCGAAATTATTTCAAAAGTTCCTATTCTTGTAAAATCGTTCGCTCTTCTTCCCACGGCTTCGTCACCACAAGTTAGACAAAGAACACAACTTTTTCCGTCCTTATGATAAAATCATCCCGACAATTTGTGCACAATGAAACATTTAGCCGGCTTCACGCACTCTGTAGGAGTTTTAAAACATAGTTTAGGCGCACTTTTACCAGAATAAACAATACATTTTTCCCCTTTTATTTAACATATTAAATGTTTTGTTCAAGATGACAGACAAGGCACATATCAGATGCTGTTTACGTCTTTCTATGAGACACCAAATGACGTCTTTAATAAATTATCTCTTATCATTCCAGCTTGCCTAATTCTTCGGTGGAAGTTGCTCGAATTTTCAAGGTGCACTTAAAATTGATTAAGTTCTCAATAGGTATGATATGCCACTGAAAAATAGCTCAATAATCTCGAACTTCAATTTCATTAAAGAAATAAAACGTTGGAAAAACTGTGTGATCCACATTTCTAATCCTCAAGTCTCTATTGTTTAAATTTCAATTGTATTAGTCTCGATGCACGAATGGTTTAATTTCTGAAATTGAAAACTGACCAAAAATCTTTAGAACTTATGTACAGACGACCCTTTTTCAACATTCGTCACATTTTTGTTTTGTATCTGAAGCAAAGAACTTTACATGAATTCAAGAAAATGTTCCAGTAGAGAATTGTGAAATTGTTTCGAAGACAGCTTTCAGGACATGAGGTTTGCCTCAGCTAAGAGGCGTGCATTTTTCAAGGAACTCATTTAGCGTCGCTCTAAAGGCCCTGTTAACTATTCGAGTTGTTTTCAGATAGTTGTCTTTTAACTGTCGACTGGTCTTATTCGCGTTTTCAACGACATAGAGAATACTTTATTTAGGCAGGGGATAAATTACATCGTGCTATTTTTGCAATTGCGTATAGACCAAACTGTTCGAATAAAGTTCAAGTGGACTTATTTTCCAACGATTACGATTCATCTTTCGTTAAATGTGTTTCATTGGCGCCTTGAAACGAAGTAAGTACGTGCATATGTAGAATATGGAATTAACAATCAAGGAAATGCAGATGTTAGAAATACAGAATATTGTGGTGAAACTTGCAAGATTTCCTTTGCGAAGCATCGTGTGTGTTATAGTCTTCATCTTGAACCTTGCATCTTACGTTTAACAAAGGATAAATTATGATTTGCCTGGTTTTTAATCAAGCATTCATGAAATAATCAGTTCGGGAAGTTAAACACTGACTGCCATAGCAATACTACTTCCGCTAAAGGAAAACCACTCATTGATAACTCCTCAAAGCCACGCAAAAAATAGCATTACATTCGTCGTTTTATAATCGATAACAGAATCCTTGGAATCTTTTAGCCATCACGGAAACATTGCAGCATTGAGGTTCTTAAAATCATGTAAGAACATTAAGCAGCAGGCTTGTAGAACATCAAGGCGGCAAAACATTCACTAAATTTTATTCGTGCCTTGAATTATGCATTGCCTCCATTTCATTTTCTACGGTCTTCTTAAGAACAGGAATTTATGAAGAAACGGTTTCAATGGTTTTTTCTCCTTATAACTTTACTTTTACTGTGCTGTCTTGTAACTTAACCAGCCCACTGAGGAGAATACGGGAACATGGAGAAAAATTGATACTACCTTCATTTGCGGATTTTTGCCTATCTGACTCACTCACTCATGCCCATTATGCCGTGTGGCACTTAGGGCGGCTTTGCCTATCTGAGAACATAGGTATTTAGGACAATTTTCCATGTCTCAATTCCGTGCTCAGAGATTTCCTCATTATTTCAGCTGAGACATCTATTTCGATAAAGAAGGTTAACACATAAAATGCTTAAGGAAGAGACAAGTTTAACTAATGCTTTCAATTTTTTTTTTTTTTTGATGCCGCTGTTACCGCTGTTACCGCTGTTACCGCTGTTATATCTTAAATTTCTCATTTTTTGTATTATAGGGCCTTAGATAATTAACTCTAGCCCCGACTCCCTCCCAAAAACGTTAAAAACAACAACGAAACGAGAAAATTTGGTAGCATCGATGAACACTTGTCTTTTGTGAAGACACAAGGTTTCTAGAAAGCATTTTCGTGTGTTTTGTTCTCCTGAACTATATTATTTTAAGGAAGACAGAGCAAAAGCCGTCAATAAAAGCTATCCGCAGATTTTTTTTTCATGATCGCTAAGTCATGAAAAAGATATTCATTTTCCTCTATAAACCTTTTTTCGCTTTCTTCATTATACAGGTCCTTGAAAATTCAAAGTTTCATATTCGAGTTTACATGATCGTCTTTGGTTATTTAGACCGATGATCATAGAAAGAGGAAATTTATGCTAATTTTCATTAAGACAAGCCATCGTTGTCGGTTTTTGACTTAGTCTTTGCTAGTTGCTGTTACCTTAACTCTTTTTGTATCAGCAAGGAGGAGAAATATAAATAAGGTTGCTCTCATCCGTGAATCGAAGGATAAAACTTTCTTCGCCGTCTGCGACTCACCTTTTCTATAATTCAATAATGCATTCTAGGCTACGATCATGAAAAATTAAACAAATTCCGTGCCTGCTTCGAGGTAACGGTTTTCTGTTTCTACCCCGCATGCATGGCATAAGTTTAAGTTGATCACCAGCCCTCATCAGTGGATTAAACTTCCAAAATCGACCTGTTTTTTGTGAACGCAACCGTTTTATGAAAATAAATTAAAGAAAAAAGCTTGCAGCTGTCAGTTCTATGTGGAAATTAAAGCAAATGACGCAAATGGATGTTATCCGCTTCGCTCGATGAAGAGAATTGGGTCTCTTAAGAATAATTATTTATCTTTACATGTTAACATACGTATCAGACACCGAAATCAGTCCTTAGAACAATATTATAAAAATTTAGCGTGTGGATATCTCCCTCCACCAGGTGTTCTTAAACTACTCAAAACTCCATTTATTCTCTTGGAATCTGACGACCGCCTTTTTGCATATCGTGTCTATAACAGACGCATTCTCTCTTGGTATAAACATATCTAAGAGGGCTATGACAACCTGTTTTCCTTGTTTTTCAAAATTGTCTGTAGTCAAAAATTGCGTCTGTGAATAGTGTTCTTTTTGGATTCTTTACCTTCCAATTCTTGAGAGGGATTATGAAATAAAGTGGGGCATTCCTAATCTCAGCCACGTTGCGTTAAAATAATGATAAGGTTAACTAATATCAGAAGAAAACTTCGAGTCATTACATTCCGATATTATTTATCAATTCAATGATGCACAACGGTCGTGGTGGTGGTCGTTTATCAGAAATAAGTTAAATTCCTTTTCCCCGACAAGTTCAAGCTTGATCGATGATTGTGCGAGATTCTCCAAGTTTTCTTTACTTTGTTTCCTGACCCTGAGTTTAGTTATGAACATATTTACTTTTATATCTAAGTAAGAAAGTGGTTTGAGTTTCACGATCAAGCTTTAGGTAATTTCTTACGTTAGTGATGGTTGATTTACATGTCCTCACATGTTCTCGAGGTTCCAAGGTCTTTAACACACGGTAACACACTGACAGTGAGGCCTTCTTTGGTATATGCATTCTTCTAATTGCGGATAAGCTTCAAGGTAAACAAGGATGTTTATGGGGATAATGGGGAATTTAATAATTTATTAGGTCTAATTACCACTATTCCTACTCTAACCATTATTGTCTTCCAGATGTACCTTAGCGTTTAATCATAAAGCACAATAGATGGGCGCGCGTAGATAATTTCCCTTCTCGTTCACTGCACTCACTCGTGAGTGTTGAACACGAGACAGGAAATTCCATATCTACAGGGAACCATCTATTTTTTTGTTTATTATATAAACACCATATGCATTTACTGACAAAAATAAATTCAACAAACAACCTTGGATTGAGAAAAGTAAACGCACTTTGCACCAAATCATCCATCTTAAAAAAGAAAACAAAAAAAAGGAGTTTATCAAGGATTATTTTCTAAATAATTTGCTAAAACTGTTTTTTCATAAGGGCTTTTATGAACGAACAAACTACTTCGATCACTTCCCTCTGAGTAGCATCTACATCTGGATATGTAAATCCTTATAACGTCCATTTTTAAAAACTGCAGGTACTTTACGCGAATGACAAAGGATTCGCGGAAGGAATGTAAATTTTTTTTCAAACAAATGTTAAGGGAAGCAAACTGATCATTAAAGTTCATAGAATGCGAACATTTACAGGACTACTACGACTTTGAGATAACGTACAGTAGAAAATAGGAGTAGGAACTAAATTTCCAACACACCAGGTTCATCCCTAAATGTTTCCTAAACCCGAAAGCTAACTACTGTATGAAAAGTTGTAAGAAATGTGATGGAAAATTGAAACAGATCGAGTTACCAAAATCTACTTACGAACAAAAACTTAAAGCAAGATTAAATAGAAATTGAAAAGAAATGAAAGTAGACCAGCATATACTCTGGCTTCTTTATTTCATCTCTTTATGATTGTGATGAATAGCATAAAATCGTGCAAGGCATTCTCATGAATTCTCCGGAGCGATATTATTTTAGGGGAGATGGGACAAAATCCGTAAAGAGAAGCGATCTGTCAATCTTTTTAAAGTGTCTTATCTAAGTCATAGTGGAGAAGTTATAAAAAAAATTGCATTTGCTACACTAAATGTATGGTCCCGAGGGAAACAGTTAGTTTTGTTTTCCCTCGAGTCGAGGTAATTTATGCTAATACGCAATGAGACGTACCATTGTTTCCTGACATCACGCAGCAGATTAAAAATGTTTTTACTGATAAATTCAGTATAAACGTGATAAATCGACCCTTCCCGGAAGATAAGTAAATTTGAAAGTTGAACGTTATACATCTCAGATGGAGAGTAGTCAAGTTATCATTTCTTTTTTAATTGTTTACAGATGCCACCTGTTATGTACACCCAGCCTTTGTGAGTATAAATGAGGTTCTTTCCAGAAATAACACGGCAAAAACTATTTCTTCCTCTGTAAAAAGTTTTGATCTTGGCATTTGAAGTCGACGAAAAAGATTAAGAAGGATCTTTCCAAATCAAAGTTATTATTGATAAATGGCAAACGAGCGAACGTTGCAACGCCATAAATTTTCAAACTAGAGAAACTTTACAAGTTGTACGCAACATTTATGCAAATTTTTCCAATAATCCAACCATACTGGGTCATTAAGTTTTTGGTGAAATTTTTGAAGAGAGTATTTTAAACTAGTCCTTAAAGACTTTTGCGTCAATAGCTTTCTTTAGAACTTATAAAATACTCTTTCATGTTCCAGCAATGTTCTAAGGTAAAACAAAATTCTCTGAGATGGTTGAGAGCGGTAAAAATCTACCTCCTTTCGATGAAAAGACATCAAATTCCGTTTACTAAACTACAATGGAAGTTAACTTAACAGTGTAATACGTGCATGTTATTGAGAGAACAGAGTTGGGAATGTAGGATTTTTTAATTGACTTAATTGTTAGTTATTGAAGTTGTTTGTGTTTTGCATCTTATATCCGACTTTCTGAGTAGGATGCATTTAAAAATCTTCGTTAAATACCCTTTAATTTTACAAAAATGAGTTCCAGTCATGGGTGGATGTTGAACGTGGCTGTTTTCCTTATTTGGTTTATTTTGTAACGTTTATTCTTTCTGTATCAGCGAAGAGAATGAAAGTGATATATGAAATAAGATTGCACTCATAAATGAATCAAACGATGGAAAATGATTGGCAGTTTTCCAGTCACCTTTACCGAACGTCAAGCAAGTCAATTCAAGATTACGGCTCCCAGCAGTGGACTAAGCAGCCCAAACCGACCTATTGTTATGAAGGAAAGCGTATCATGAAAATACATCAAACAAAGCTCTCAGCAGCTGTCAGTTCTATGTGGAAATTAGCGCAAATGACGCAAATAGTTGTTTTCCGCTGTGCTCAATAAAAAGGAATAAGGTCTCTTAGGGAATATCATTCCATATTCTTAGGATAACAGAAACTTAAACCTTCAAGTTCTATTGGACTTTTTGATCCAAATACTTTCTTAATGTGAAATATTAAAAAATGCATCCCGCCGATCGCAAATTATTTTATCGCATTGAATTATCGGAAATTCGTTGACGTTGACAGTTTTCGTTCATTTTATTAAAAGTTTGAGTTTCATTAATACAAGAAAGGATCTTGATCCGCTACCATATCTGAAAACAAAGAAAAACGATTTGATTACAACATATGCGACCGAAACCGTGCACTATCTGAAATTGATATGTGCTAGACGTTGTGCCACAATGTCATTCGTTTATTTTTTAAATGTTTGAGTTATTAATCTGGAGTTCGAAAAATCGTGCAAAATTTTCGTTGTCGAATTATTACTCTTTAAGTTTTAAAGAAAGAAATGTGTTGGTGTTAATTTTGTGTTGCTATTTATATTACTATTTACCATAATTCAGTCCATCCTCATCGTGGCCAGAGGCCCCCAATGCTGTTTGCCCTTTGCCTTCTTCTCAGCTCTTCCCAGCTGACTCCTCTCTCCCCCATCTCTTTTTTGAATTTCAAGGTGTAAGATTAATAGCAGATTTTATTACGACAATGTCCTTTACTCACGGCTTTTTTCTAACTGAACGACCCTTTTTTTTCAATTCACCCGTGACAACTTACCCGCGAAAATTTGTCGCGACAATTTACTCGTTACACATGACCCACGAATATTGGCCACTTCTTTTCCTGTAAAACTTGAATTTAAAAATAAAAACAAAAGAAATAATGGGACCATTACTTTCTCTTGATGAAAGCAATTACCCTGTTGTTACGCTATTTGTTGACCTTTGTTACCCTGATAGTAGCAGTATGCAGGACGGGTGTCCGATATATGAACTTTAATATAGTATAGAAGTCTATAGTCATATAGAGTCTCTGTGGCTAAGTAGTAGAGCATCGGAACACGGAATCCGGAGGTCTGAGGTTCGATTCCTCGTGAGGGCTCAGAGTTTTTCTTCGTCCCACGCCCGAGACAAGATGAAAAAACATCTTTCTTTATTCCTTTACCGAGCCCAAAATCTTACCATTTTTCTTTTTCTATTAACAAAACATGACGTTAACGACATTGCTGATCCTAGCAGTTTGCAGGACGCGTATCATGCATGAACTTCGGAGTGGGCCTTGCCCACCACAGACTCTCCGTGGCTCAGTTGTAGAGCATCGGAGGGCGGAGTCCGAAGATTTGAGGTCCGATTCTCATGGGGACTCAGAATTTTTTCTTGTCCCACGCTCGTGACGAGACGGAAAAAATTTCTTTATTTATTTCTTTAGCGGGCTCGAAATCTAACCATCTTTCTTATTCTATTTGTTACCCTGTGGGTATTTTCCAAATAAGTCAAAAGGTTTATGCATAAGGTGTTTTATGGAGAAGAAACCCAACTTCCTTTTATTAGAGGGACGACGTTTCTAAAGAAATTTTGGTGCTGCGTGGATGGGAGAGTATCACAGGGTAATTTAGTTTTAGCAACTGAGTTAATAACGTAGATTGGAATCCGTAAAGAGTTTTAAAGCTGACGTTTAGAGCGTTCGCCCTTCGTCAGAGCGAGTAACTACGGGCTAACGCTCGATTCGTAAGCTTTAGCCTCTGTACGGTGGCTAATTTAGGTTATCAACTCAGTTGATAATACTTAATTACCTTGTTGCCTCCCTTACTTTCTGCTGAGCATCATTTGGTTCTGGATATGAAAATCATTATGAAGTCCATGGAAAACCTACGAGTACGACGGGAATGACAAAGTATTCTCGGAAATCAATGTAAGTTTTGTTTTCCAACAAGTGTTAAGGGCAGAAAATTAAACTTTATAATTCAAAAAGGGCGAATGCTCGCAGGACTAATACCAGTTTGAGATATCTTACATAAGAAAATAGAAGCAGAATTTGAATTATAACTCGCCAGTTTCATTCTCAAATGTTCCATGAACCCGGAGGCCAACCATTGTAGGAACGGATGCAAAGCGAAAATGAAAATAGACTAGCATATATTCAAGTTTTTTATTTCATCTCTATAAACTTAAGGTGCATATCTTAAAATCTCACAAGTCATTCTTATGAATTCTCGATTCCAAGCAAGGCCTTTACCAGGACAAGCATTCTTTTCCTTCGTTCTTGAATCGAAGAGAGGAACCTCACTAAAGTTAGAGTATTTTTTCCCGATGTCATAAGTACATGTATTATAAATGATGATAGAAAATGTATTTATACATCGCCAAATCCACTAATTGTCCATGGTGCTTTACGTTAAGATCATAAAAAAGCTAAAAGAAAGGGGGAAAAGAGAAAAAAAATTCTATATCTATATACAGGAATAAACAAATTGAAAAAATTCTGAGGTAATTAAACATATTTATCATCTAATAAAACTAAATGGAGTTATGAGCTTTTTTAAAAAGATACGTTTTAAAATGTCTTTTAGTCTCGCTTTCGGGGTCGCCAGAAAGTGTTGAAAAGAGGACCTTAGTGTCCGTTTAGAGGTGCGATAATTAAGTGAGTCACTGATGCAGCAAGGCACTGCTCCATTGATAGCTTTGTAGA